ATTTTCGCACTTTCAGCCTCAGGCCTCCTGATAACACAGGATTTGCTTATGGATATTCACATTGTGAAGCTTGGTTCTAATGAAACAATAGACTCATCACTTCTCTCTCCCCCTCCCCCCCAATTACGACCTGAAAGTTGCCTCGGAGTGGAAAATTCTTTGCGCAGTTGTATATAACCGGGATGCTAAAATTAACGGATTTTTCGCACGCCCTCGCTAGAAAAACTTTGTATTTCTCCGTTACTTTTTTGTGCATTTTTGTTCTCCTACAGACCCTTAATCAATTTAGGACTTTCTCAGAAGAATGGATCACAGCATCAATAGCGTCTCTTGAACAAACGTGAAGAATTGGTCACCTACTGATATGAAAAAACATACCTGCAACGGTCCCAGGAACACATTGAGGCCATAATCACGTTTAAGCCGATCTTTGATAACTTCAACGTGCAGTTCGCCCATTGCTCCAATTATTGTCTGCCCCAATTCGTTATCAATTCGCACTTGCATTGATGGATCCTCCACCGCAAGTTCATGCAACGCCTGCAAAAGAGCTAAAAGCTAACCGGATAATTATTCTTCCGTTGATGTGGTGCTTCAAATACGATTTTGCACAATTCTTTGAATCACTTGACAAGTATCCATTACGAATCCTGGGACACATTTCAGAAGTATTATTTTTTAAATAATTCAGGCTGGACTTTTGCCAAAATGAAGCACCCCTCGCCTTCCCTAGCTCATGGTTAGTAATATTCGTTAAGGTATTTTCACTCTGCCGTAGTTCTAGCGAACGCATACCAGAAACTTGGAAAAAGCCCCTAGGTTCGCGACTTTCCAATTTCTTTAATTACATATTTAAAACAGATTTTCTAAATTTTTTCATCTCCTCTACTATGATGATGTATTTTTTCTTGGATTCCTGGGTCGACCGAGTGACACGCTTGTTCAAACCATTCACCTTTTCGAATTCCAAATTCGATGCTTCGGATGGCGCTTCAACAGTACAGAAATAGACAGGATCAGGTGTTTCGATGCCTGCTAACAAAATAGACTTCATGGTACCGTCCTTTTGTCCAAGATGACCTGAAAACTTAAAATAAATTTTAGTACAAACTCTGAATTCGCATCAAATAGTTCCAAGTAATTCCTTAAATATTAATCTAAATTATCAAAACCCATAGACGCTACCACAACCGTTCCTCCTCACTTCTCTTCAGAACTTTTTTTCCTCTCTGATTCGCTCTTTTTCCACATTCTCGCTTGTCAACAGACCTAAGATTGCTATATTTT